TTTGTGTGTTGTGACATGTCCATGTGTCTCTCTAAAGTGTGTATCTGATGACCTTATGTAACAGAGGTTGTATATGTAATGGGTTTATGTCTATATATCAGATGGATATGTTGTGTCCATATGCTCTCTGCATATGTATTGTGTCTATGTGAAGCACAATGTGGAGATGTTCCCTTTTCCTCATGTTGTGTTGTTTGACCATTTTGTGGACCCTGTTATCTTTTCCTGTTGTCAGGTAATGTCTTTTTCCTTGGTCAATCTCCCCTGTCGTCACATGACATGACATGACATGACATGACATGACATGACATCACATGACAACAGGAGAAGATGACAGATTCCACAACATTGTCAAACAACCCATCATGAGGAAAAAGGGAACAACTCATGATCTGCATATTACAGTATGGTTAACATTAGGGGTGGGTATTGGCAAAGAAGTCACGATTCGATTCGAATCACGATTCACATGCCACGATGCGATTCTATCACGATGCATCACGATACTTGAAATATTGCGATGCATTGTGATATTTTCACTGAACACTGTAAGAAAAAGATACAGCCCTTACCAGTGGCTGACTGGCTGGGTGTGATCTGGATAGTGTCTTCAATTGATACATAACTGAAAGCAACTGAATTCATACATAGCTGTATTTATTGAAATTACTTTTGGAGGTGTTGCAATGAAAACAAATACTGGACAGAAATATTACTATTACTGGCATGGACACACCAACAAAAAGATCTTAGGATTCATCAAACTTAAAATAACAAAATGAGGATAATCAGTCCGGACATGCTTATGACACAAAGCAGCAGGCGTCAACACATCCGCAGCGACATCTGCTGGACTGGAAGTTGTATTCCACTTGGTTTGATTGATGTGCGCCAACCATTAATGTATTTTATTTGTTCATTTTTTTTTTTTTTAATAATCGATTCTTGCCTTCAAGAATCGATTCAGTAGATCACAAAAATTAGAATCACGATTCATCGATTTGACGATTATTTTGCACACCCTTAGTTAACATAGACACAATACATATGCAGACAGCATATGGACACAACATATCCATCTGATATATACACATAATACCATTACATATACAGCTTCTGTTATATAAGGACGTAGGATACACACTTTAAACAGACACATGGACACCTCATAACACAAATGAAGAGCCTATCATGCAACTCAATGAATGGATGCAGTCAACTGGTTTCCCTAACCTTTCTGACAGCATTTTCTTTGTAAAGTGCCTTGAGATGACTCCTGTTCTAAATTGGCATTATATAATTAAACTAAATTGTATGGAATTGAGAAAAGTAAATTAGAACGTCTACTTTTTACTCCAGAGGAAGGCAAAAAAATTATGTTCTGTATACATTTTAGTGAACCAAAACATTGTATCTTAAAAAGATATTTCATTGCATTTCCATAGGTTTAAACAAATCTTTTAACCTAATGAGAACACAAATGCAAGATTATTGTAAGTCTAGCACTAAATCTAGCACATAATACTTTCTTTTATACAGTAAAGAGATAAAAATAGACTTAGGATCTTGTGAATACAGGCAAAAAGTAGGGGAGAAAACAGGTGTAAATGGTAGAACAATGAGCAAGTGCAGGTGCAGAGAAGAAACTGATTAACAGAAGGTTCTGGTTGAGGAAGAAATTATCTAACTGAGATAAACACTGGGAGGAATAAACTGGGGGAATAAGTCCAACAATCCAAAATATTGAATAAAGAGCAAGACGACAAAAACCAAAGAAATAGGCATAATAAATAAATTAGAAAAAACTGGTAAAGGTGAACCTTTGCCGGCAGCAACCTTTTCTGGCAAAAATAACAGAATACCACAAGACCCAAAATGCAAAATTAATAACAGGCTAAAGGCAGAAAAACAAAACAAAACATTCTTAAAAGAACCCCAAACCATGGCAGTCTCTGATTTGCTCTACTGTTTCTGGTTGGAAATCCACACTTGTAATTTTTTATACCACAACCCTAACCCATGTAATAAAAACAGATTTATTATAGGGCCATTGCAATCTATAGTCATATGCACCTTTTTGCACTACTCGCAATTAATCATAAAACACTTAAGGATTTTGGAGGTTTATAAAAGGCAGAAAAAGCAAAGAATGTCCTTAGAATTGGAGGAAAGGAAGAGAAAATAGAATTTTATGGAGACAGGGGTTACACAGCAGTGAATTTTGGCAAAACATTTACTTTGTGGCGAGCCCTCAAACAACAACAACAAAAAAAGGATACAAAACTAACCTGACCTTACAATAGTGTTAGTGTACTTGTAAGTACCTCAGGTGTTAACATCTGTTAGTGTTAATTTCATAGTCTTGGAGTGATCAAATCTTGGTATGCCATTATTAAACATGGAGTGGCTAAAGGCCCTTGTGAGTGTCATGATCTTGGTGCTGATGACTGGCTTAATATCCAGCATTACCTTATTACCTTACCTACTGTTTCTGATTTCCTGTTCTGCCTCTGAACCACTGAGCCCTCCTGTTTCCAGTCTGTCTTTACCTGCCTGTTTCCAATTATCAGACGAGATTTTTCTCAGGGCAATGGTGATAGCGTTTTTAGCATTACCTTAGTGTTTCTGATTACCTGATCCTTTTTTGCCTCTCAGCCACTGAGCCTGCCTGGTCCCGTCTGATCTGTTTGCCTGAACTGCCTTTGGACTCCTGCTGGATTCAGCCTGTTTTGATGAACTTGGAGCTGTTTCCTGTCACCGACCTGGATTTCCCTTCAGAACCTTTTCGAATTTCTGATCTCCTGGTTCTGAATGCTGAGCACGTTCTCAACCCCAGCTTAGGCTTCGCCCTCATTATTATTTTGCCTTCCTTCATCTGCTTGGATCTGATCTTCTGCAAGTTTTGTAGTCTTCTTTCTGTAACTCTCTTTGCGCCAAGCGTTGCGTCTTGTGAGCCAATCAGCTGGAATCAACCTCTTTCTCTGGGCATGGACTAAATTATAAAACCAGAGGTTCCTGCAGTAGCAGCGGCTCCATTGTAGAGATTACCTTATCAGATCTTCTAGCCGCTACAACTGCAGATCTGCAGTGTGTTTGTTTTAATAAACACTTTTTGAAGTAAGTAATCCCACTTTCTGACTTGCCATGACATTGAGACCCGTTACAAAAACATTTTTCTGGAGAAACAGACTTATATGTAATTGAGTCGTAGAATGAATATCAATTATCAGTGAGCCCCAGGGCAGCTGTGGCTACAATGTAGCTTGCCTCCACCAGTGTGTGAGTGTGTGTGTGAATGGGTGAATGAATGTAGTGTAAAGCGCTTTGGTCAAGTCTCCTGACTTGAATAAAGGCGCTATATAAGTACATGCCATTTACCATTTACCATTTAGCAGCAAAAAAGGCTACTATGCCCTAAGTAACAACACATCTTGGGAATAATGCAATTCCCCCTTGATTAATATACTTTGGTACATGGTCTTGCTAATATTGGTTTTTCAGGTTCTGGTCAACAACAATCTTAGGGTATTCCTGACAACTTTTTTTTTTTTTTTTTCTTGCTACCTTAACAATATATTGTTAAAAAAAACAGAGATGCACTGATACAATTTTTTCGGATCCAATCAGATACCTGGGCTGAGCATATTGGCCGATGTCTGATACTGATTTGATTCAACTGTTGAATGAAGGAACAATGTGAGGGAAAGTTTTAATCCTCATATAAACATTGTTTAAAAGAGGTAACAAATTAACAAATATATAAATATAATTTTCATTATTTACAAATAAATACACAGCAAAAAGAAATAACAGTTCCATGTAAAGTGCACTGGATTGGATCTTCAATATCAGATATCAAGTTATCGATATCCAATCCAGCTATTTAGTCAACTGCCTCTTCATCAGAGCAGAAAATGTGAGTCCCAATTTGCCATCTTTGACCTTCATGTGTTGAACAATCAAGGATGGATGGGTGTAAACCAATAACCCAGCAAGGTCCAGCTACTGGTTGACTGGCCCACACCATCTAAATGCAAACAACTCCAACAGCTCCTCATATTTGATCATCAAGCTTCATCAAGGACTTCAGTTTCTTTATTCATCCTCTCACCACACTCACATCCACCATGAGTTTCTTTGCCTGGTGGCTTTAAGCTGAATCAATGTGTGTTGAGCTAAACAAAAGGTTTCCCTTAGCCCTTATCATCACTCATTCAAAAACCAATTCATCCAAACCAAATTTATCCTCGAGGTGGACACTTCTGACAATGGAGTTAGTGCTTTTCTTACTATCAAGTTAGCCCTAGATGTGTAAGACATTGGTTTTAAAGGCACACAACTCCCCATCATCACCTGAATTAATCCTAAGAAACTGGCTTATCCACAATTTGCTAAATGTCTTAACTCCCATTCTGTCCCCTTATCCAAGTTCTAGTCACACCATTGGCCTCATCTACAGATATTTATATTGGTCACCCCTCAATAAAGACATCTTGGATTGTGTCTTTGTCTGTTACATTGGAAACTCCCAGGTGTCTGTGGACTTATGTCATCAGACTCTGTGGTATCCCTCTGAAATTGTATCTAACTATAGTCCTCAAATCATTCCTCAAATCTGGGAAGAACTTTGTTCATCTATCGAGCCAAGGACAAGCTATCCACTGATTTTCACCCACAGACCAACAGCAAATGTTAGTGCATGTACCAGCAGCATAAGAACACCCTTTTATGTCTCTGCAACACCAACCCAACTTCTTGGAGTTAACATCTGGCCTGAATGGTTTATGCTGATGGCAACCACATATCCATTACTATCAATATCTTGCTATTGAAAGCATCCTTTGGGTTACCAGCCTTTAGCCCTAGCCCTCATCGTTTCCCGATTCCATCCTCCCGTGAGTCGAGACTGAACTGAATCACTGCCAAAGAATGTGCAAGGAAACCAACCATACCTCTGCCCAAAATAAGCATGCTGACTGGAAGAGAACATAAGCACCCACCTCACACCAGGGCAGAGGGTGTGGCTGTCCTCAAAGAGCTTTACTCTCAAGGTCTACTTGAAGTTGGCACTTAGGTTCCTTGGTCTGGGGTTGTGAAGGATTAGAGGGGGGATGCTGTTCAGCTGGAAGTGATGGCGCCCTTAGATCTGGAGATTTAAAAGCAGAATCTTAAAATATGATTGGTAGAGAAGCGGGGAAGGAGCTGCAGTGTAAGACTGGAGCTGGAGCGCATGAAGAGATGACTGGTCTGTGGGTAAGAGAGTATTCCATTCAAATTTACGCCTAGGTTTCAGTGATACTGGTCAAGACCAGCACATCTAAACTGTAAATTGCATTTTACAGTCAACAACATCACATTAGTTTTATTAAATGACAGCTGGCTGGCAGTGAACAACAACATTAGGGATGGTGGAGGGGGAATTGGGGGTCTATGTTTGTCAAACACCCAGACAAATATGACGTCTCTACAGCACTGTCTTTGGCTGTTCTGTAAATGTAACCATTAAATTGTGCCAGACAGCATAGATGACTGAGAATAACTAGTGAATCTGACTCCTGGCTACGGTTTTAAACCAACCTTTTTTACAAACCTCAACATGTGGTTACCATTGTCCTCCGTTTCTGTTCAATTTATTAAATACCAATGAGGTAGAAAGTAGGATTTAGTAAAGAGACCTATTCAAAATGAGATTATAAATTGTTCTTGGTTAGGAACATATCATGGTGTCCATTACTCTTTGTAATAACCAAAGAAAATTACAGTTTTCTTCATTGCTACCTGTAAACATGTTCACTTTTAGGTTAAGATTTTTAAATGAATCCTCACAGAACTGCAACCATTCTTCATGTGACATTGACTAATCAGATGTCTGTTTATATAAGGAGCTGGAACTTGGAACTGATTTAACTATAACATCATGCTTTATTTATCTATACACATATAAGGAAAGATTATAAAGTTATGTTGAAACCAAAATGTACATTGGGTCATGAGTATTAAAATAAAGTCCTATTTTGTGCTTTCTGTATGCTGTTTCTAAAGAGGATTTTAGATATAGACAGACAGATTGGCCAAGGAACTGATTGATGGACGTTGCATAAACTGCACATGACCATTTGTAGCTTACAATAATGTTACATCGTTGTTATTATTCCCCTGTAAGACGATTTTAGGTTGGATTCCTCTAAACGCATCGGACTAGTAAATCAGTCAGTCGTAATTTTCTGATATGCACACCCAACCCACTGTCTGTTCCTGTGGTGTGGAAACCAGCAAAAAAAAAAAAAATCACATGGAGTGATGAGTCTCTTCAGTCATTTTTAGTTTTTCGGGAAACTTAAAATAAAAATATTTAACAAAAATATTTAACAGCTGGGAGTACAACAAGGGAATATATTATGCATGCAACATTGTGCACTGAAGAATCACATCACCCCATCAGAAAGTTTAAGCTCCATTTTAAATACTGATGTTTTGAAAAACTGAGTTGCAAAAGCACAGATGGCTAAATGAGAAGAAGTAAAAAATATGATCACTGCCTCAAGATTTGATCATTTTTTCTTAGGTTTTTGTTTCACTGAATCAACACAAACCGAATACACTCAAATGAGCTGCTTGTTAATAGAACTTCATAATTCCTCCAAATTCACTAAAAATACCATAACCATGTTTTTCCCTGTGCCTCTTTATTTGCTTCCCTTGCTTAGCAAACTCTTCTTTTGTCCCAAGGGTGCAGTTCTGTTATATATTCTACTAGATTTTCTCTGATGTGTCTTCTTTTTCTCCTCTTTCATATAAAAGCAAGTTTAATAAGGCCAACAGGGGGTGTGCTTGCTACATTGTGAAATATGAGAAAATGTGACCATTTCATGTTTAATAAAAGCAGTTTAGCAGTTCCGATAAGTTTAATTATTCGATTGATACCTCTCTGCCTGCTGGTTTAGTAAAGCAGCACTTAGCACAAGAGTGTCTATCTTAATAATATTGTGCCCATTTCTTGGTATGTAAAGTATATGTACTGTCATTATTTCATGACCCCAATAACACCAACCAGAATGGAAAAAAAACATCATGTTCCATTTAAACTGTTAAACGTAGCTACTTAATAAGAAAATAATGCTTAAAAGGAAACAGCTTCAGTATAAAGATCAATGTTGATATTATAAGAATTGATATATGCAGTATACAGTGAATGTTTTTTTTTTTATAACTCAGTCAAACAAAATAATTATTTGCATAAAATCATGATGCACAGAGTGATTATATTATACATTCTCTAGGTTAATTAAGATGATTCTGGCTTACATCTGATGAAATCTGAATATTTCTTTTTTTTTTTTTTATACACACAGTCTTTCTCAAACCATTGCAAAAACTCTTTTGTAAAAAAGCAGTGAATACTTGGTCAGACCTCATTACGCAGGATTACTGCATCAAGCCTGCTTCAATAGCTGCTTTCAGTTCCTCTGTCTTGTCTGTTTGTCGTCTCTCATCTTCCACCTGACAGTATGATTCTTGATGGGATTTGGTCAGGAAAGCTTACAGTATATGTGCATAAAACAATAGTCATTACATGGTCATGAATGCCAAGTCCTGTTGGAAAATGTAATCAAACACCTTCACAAAGATGTTAGTAAAGGGGAAAAGTGCTCTTAAATTTCATGGTGGATGGTCGTGTTGACATAGAGCTTTATAAAATAGACTAGACCAACACCAGCAGATGATATGGCTCTCTAAATCATTGCTGATGGTGGAGACTTCCAATTCCACTTTAACAACGTGAATTTGGAATATCTTCCTAGACTCTGAGCAAAAAAACAAAAAACCAACAAACAAAAAGACAACAATAGAAGACAAGGCTTATATGATCAAATAGAATGCTCGGTTGCTTCTTGGTGCTTGGTCACACAAGGCAACTGTTCACTTCACTTTATTCTGCAGGTAAGATGCTTCTAAAGGTTGGGAGTTTCTAAACACAAAGAATGTGACAGTTATATATCACAGGTACTGGATCGCCTCTTTCCAAGAACTAGTTTGAGCCACAGATTTCATATTGTGAGGTTACATGACTGTGTAAATTCTCAATCATCCTGAACAAGAATTTCGCTCATTTTTTTGAGTTTTGACACCTTTACAGAAGTTTTTGTCAATTCTGGCACAAGCCAACCTATTCACCTATCCGGGGGTCTCTGTTGCCACCAGCAAAGAAAAGCTCCAAGATAATTACAGAAATGTCTTCAGTAGAACAGAGCGAAATTCCGGTTGTCTTCATTAAGGCATGTTTTGTGGTTGTAAATTTAGACTTTTAAATTAGGGGTGTGCCTCACAATCCTCTCAAGGCTCTCATCGCATCCTGTGTTTCTCCCTTTTTTTCCTTACTCTCAACTTTCCATTTATATGCTTGGATACAACACTCATTGGAGCTTCTTGGACAACTACCCATTGAGACTTGCTCATCTTTCGAAGGTTGTGCTTGTGTGTCCAATATCGCTAAAGTAATAATAAGATCTTCTGAAAATATGAATCAAAATGATCAAAACTAATCTGAATAAATGTTGTAAATATCTACATTTATAATCTAAATCAATTAAATTGTATAATTTGTATTTGAATTACTAAAATAAATATGCGTTGAGATCCTTTTATTAAAAAGATATCTTATTTTATTTCTTCCCAAACCTACGAGAGACTAAATCAGTTAGACTACTATATGGATCTGGTTTAACTTGTAATGTTTTTAAAAGTGAAGACATTTGACGACCAAAGATTGATTAAAATAAAGATGGTAATGTTAAGAGGACAGAATGCCACCGCCAAGGCTTTTCAATCCGTTAATCTGAGCAGAGAAAGAGGCTATTGTTAAGCTTTCTTCTTAAGTGTGAAATGTAGAAACAACAGGCTACATAACAGTATCTTCCGAAATATCCTCAACATGGGCAGTCATCTGTTATGGTCAACCTTAACAACCTTAACAACACCCAAAAAAGGCAAAAACATCAGTAATTGTAATAAATCCCATGTTGAATTCTTTTTGATTTCACTTTGGAGAAAAATCACAAATATGATATTATATGCACTTTTAAGTAGTTTTCACTTGGAGAGTTTCAATGCAGCTGTCTTACGCATGATGGCTTCGGATAATCTCAATCAGAAGCAGCATTCCAGAAAACATCTCTTTGCTCCCTTATCTATTTGCAAAAAAAGAAAGAAAAAAAGAAACGTATTTCAACTTTGATGCGTTGCTTACCTTAATTTGTCACTGCTTAAGAGAAGAGCGGGTGTTGAGCCCTGTTATACCAGACCTGAAACTCTGGTACAAGTGCTCACAGAATAAAAAGATCTTACTAATAAGGTTTCTTTGTTGAAGGACCTGCAGCGCGGGGAGAGGTGAACTGAGCGCAGCTCCCACTCTGGCACGACTGTCTGCTCATCGGTGAGAATTAGTTTGCATGCTTCTGACTGCCGCCCTGCCTCCCACTCACTCTCTCACTCACTCACTTGCTGTCTCCCACCCAGGAGAAATAAATAATCTTTAATCTCTCGGTCTCTCTCCATCTTTCTCTCCATTCACTCTCTGCCCAGCACGGGTGGGGGGTGTGGTGGTGTGGAGCATGTTTAATTAATATGAGCCTAACAAGGGTAACAAGCAATATTCTCCACAAAAACCCTCACTTCCTTTAATTTCTTTATATATTTCCCTCTTACCAAAAGACGCCGCCTTCCCCTCATGTTAGTTTTTGGGACTGTCCGGTTTGTGCAGGAGTGGCCGGGATTAAACTGTGGGATTATTCCTCAGCATTCATTTCATCCCACACATGGAAGCACACTGGTGGACAATGACATCAGCCTTTGGCAGATTCAGACAAACAGACAGTTTCATGTGGGTAGGGAGGTGGAGATGGAGAGAAGGATAAAAAAAAGACAGGATGGGGAGAGAAACAGAGAAAGGGATGAGGGAAGTGTCGGGAGAAAATGGTAGCTTTATCCATATTCTGTGTTTTTTTTTATAAATCCACCCAAGTTGGAAAACAAAGAAAGTTTAATGGGGTGAAAAATTTCTTTTGTGAATTATACAAATGTAGCAGCTGGATTCAGCATGACCTCTCTGTGTGTGAGGGTTTTAATTCAGCCGATCCATATGC